ACCTTTTGTGCAAGGGTTAGATAGAAAAATTTTAAATAATGAAGGAGATATACTGTATCAATTTTTAATTTGAGGGGTGAACACTACTACAAAATCATAAATAGATCACACTTTTTATGTGTGATGTATTTTATTTAATCACACGTTTCAAATATTGAAAAGAGTAAGACAAAAGTTACTAATATCATTGAAAAGAGACAAAAAATATATCGATGACTTAACAATTGAGATGCAAACATGTGGAAAAAAATGTTTCAAACCAGGCATAACTGATCATAAATTCCAACAAATTCTGTCCCCCATCCCTACATTGTCAACCAACCAATAAAATGGAACAGTGAAACCCAACACTTAAAAACCATAAAAATGAACTCAAATAATCCACAACTAAGGTCTAATAATACTTTCTATAGTAAAATTTATACAATGCTCCCAAGAACCATGAACTGTAGGCGATCTCAACCAATTCTGGCATACCCCAGAGAATCCAGTTCAGAAAGAGCAGCCTTAACTGTGGGCCATCCCAAACAATTCTGGCTTGCCATTCAATGTGACATTCTTCTAATCCTTGCCATTCACATCCCAGAATCCAGTTCAAGCTATCCCCCATCCCCCTAGTTACATAACCAAGGATGGTCAATAGAAACTTTGGAATTGACAAGCACACTTGCTAATCAATTAAGTATGCTGGTAAAGGAAATTCTTACAACGGGTTATGCCAACATTTTAAACAACAGTCATAGTCCCGCAGCTCCCCATACAAATTCATCTACACTCATATCAGCTGCAACATACCAAAATGGAGAAGTACAAAACAAACCTACCTACATAAATAAAATCCAACAGAACCCACCCCTGCACAAAACAATAAGAAGATGACAAATTCAGCATCAGCAAAAACGCATCTTAGATTTGCAGAAAACAAACTTTTGGTTACAAACAAGACTAACATAAAACACAATCACAAACAACAAAGAACACTAAAAACAGATGGCCAATCAACAACTCCTAAAAAAATTTGAAAATAATCCTATTTCTATACTATTATACAGTAAATACAAAATCCCAAAAGAAAGTACGGAATACAGTAGCTCTCACCTGTTAAACTATGTTTAATTCTTCTAATCCTTGGCATTCATATCCAAAAATCTATGTCAGAGTCCTTAGAGACAAGAAATGATCTAATATTTCACGTAACAATAAATAAGTTACTTCTTTGGATCACACCACTTACTTTTTAAACATGCATATTGATATTCAATATGAATCCAGAAAGAACTTACTAGCAGCTAGAATCCTCTTTATATCACACCACTAATTGGTCATGAAGCTAGGCAACAATAAACAAGGCTATGTTTTCAACAACAACTAACACGTCCTTAGACTTGATCCATAACAACAATTTTGTTCATTTTTTGAAATCAAACTCTCTTCAAAAAGACAATATAACTAGTCCCTACTTTTATACCCTTACCAAAAAAATCAATGAAAAAATATTCAAATAATTGGAAAAAAACATTAAATCTTCATTCATTAAGCACAGAACACTTTACTAAAAAAAATTATGCTAAATTACCTGCATTGATGAATTAAAAAGAACAAATTATTTAGTATTTCATAAAACAATAAATGTCATGAATTGGAAGTACTATATATATAACAATAATTGTCTTTACGTCTTCAGATCACAACACTTACATGCATACTTATATTGAATATGAATTCAGAAAGAAACTACTTGTCACGCAACTGGAGTCCTATTTTTTTAAGTATGCATATTGAACCTCACCTGTTAAACTAAAGTTTAGGACCTCTAACTAAAATTGAGAGAAGACATAAGGGAAGAGTGGGTAAAAACCAATAAACTGAACAATGAAAGAGACCAGAAGGAAACGTCTGACTGGTTCACCCACAGGTGCTGCGACATGTTCCATCCTTCAAAGATGACCATTAGTAGGGGGGGAAAAAGATATGAAAAGGATAGCAAAATAGAAGCGAGAAGGGGAGATGAGCGTTAATTTTGACATACAAACACAGGAGAGGAAGACATTCAAGGCTATGTTTCAACAAGCCAAAATAAAATCCAACAATCCAATAAATCCCACACCTACAAAACAATAAACAAGGCTATGTATTAAACCACAACTAACAACATATCCATAGACTTCCTCCGCAGGCTTCCACCAGCAACAATTGATAAGGGGATAACCTCCATAGACCCAACAGAATCAAAAACCTCAAGGGTAGAAAGGGAATAACCGCACCAAATTTAATCACAAATATTGATATTAAGTATGAGTCCTAAAAGGAATTTTAATCAGGAATATTGATAAATATGATTCCTAAAAGGAACTAGTCATGCAGCTGGAAACCTCTATTTTTAAGCATGTATATTCATATTGAATATGAATCAAAAAGAAACTAGAAGCCTTACAATGTTTCCTAACAATGATCCGCCATCCATGATCAGAATGGGATATAATCCTGCATACCTTTGGCAAATTGCTCACAAAATTTCATATGAGAGTGTGGACTGCAGTACAGCTCATCTGTTAGACTAAGCCTAAAAAAACTGAAAGAAGACCGGAGGAGGGGGCAAAAACACCACCAAAAAATTAAAAAAAATTAAAAAATCAAAAAATCAAAAATCAACAATGAAAGTGAATTAGCATATCCGGCTACCAGTTTATCAACAAGTAGAGCTACATGTTCTATGTCCTTCAAAGACAACCAATTAGTAGAAGAAAAAAAATGTGAACAAAATGAAAAATAAAAAAGATATGAGCACGATTGCAAAAGAGGACGAAGGGAAGAATGTTAATTTTAAGATACAATCATAGGAGGGGAAGACGTGCAAAACAGGCATAACTAATTCAAAATTTACAGGCATTTCTGTCCTGCATCCCTACATCAAATCTGCCAAGCAATAATACTCATTCGTGAATCCCAATCACTAAAAAAACCTTAAAATAATGAAATCAAATAATAAATAAACAAGGGCTAATCATACTGCTACATTAAAAGTTAGGGAAAGCAGCACCATGTGACATAAGTCATCCCAAACAAAATCAAATTTGCTATTCATCTTGATATTCTTCTAATCCTTAGCATTCAGTGCCCAAAATATAGATCAGAATCGTTCCCTAGTTGCATAACCAATGCAAGTGAACAACATTATCATAATTCACTAGCAACTAACAAATAAAGTCTAAACAGTTTATGAAAAACAATATTAATAAGTTGCATCAAATTTTTACAAGGTTTACGCCAATAGTTGAAAAACATCATTGTCGTAGTTCTCGCAACAACTCTCCAATAAAGTTGATCCACACTCCCAGATATGCTGCAAAAACCCCATGGTATTGAAAACCAATAAACCAGCTCAATAAAAATTACCAGCAAAACCCAGATGTTTTCATCTACTGCAACAAACATGTGCCTAGATTTGCCTAAAAAAAATTGGTGGCAAACAAGGCACTAACCTTTCCACTAGGTACAACTGGTGTAAGTGTAGGACACAACAGATGGCAGAATTTGAGAATTTGAGTCCAGCACAACACTAAAAATAAAAATTGAAAAGAAAAGTAAGAACTTCCAATCAAAACACCAAAAATTCTAATTTTTTTTTTTAAATAAATGCCAACAAATCTTCAAAAAAGATACTTGAATAATAATAAATTGGAAGTAAGCCTGAATATAGAAAGAACACATGATAAAAGCCAAAAAAATCCAGGACAAAAACCATTTACTATAAACCCTAAATCAAAGAAAAATCCAAAAACCAATATTCCAAAAAAAAAATTTCGAATTCCTCCATCACCAAACCAAAAAATCCAATATCCTAAATCGAAACCAATCTAAAGAACAACTCGAAGATTTCAAAGAATTTCATAGGAAAAGTAACCCATACAAACTCGAATTCATATTCCAAATTATCATATCTTGGATGATCCTTTAAAATCAGCCAGAAATTGCATCTACACAATGCTTCACAATCCATGATCAGAATGGGATATAATTCGGCATACCTTCGGCAAATTGCTAACAAAATTTCATGTGTGTGGATGGCAGTACGTCTCATCTGCCTAATAAAACTCAGAGAACACGGAAGTAGGGGGGTAGTGGGTGGGGGTAAAAACACCACCAAAAACCCACAAAAGAGAAGGAAAAAAAAAAAAAAATCAACAACAAAAGGGAATTAGCATATACGGCTACCAGTTTATCAACAGGTACGCCTACATGTTCTATGTCCTTCAAAGACAACCAATTAGTAGAAGAAAAAAATGTGAACAAAATGAAAAATAAAAAAGATATGAGCACGATTGCAAAAGAGGACGAAGGGAAGAATGTTAATTTTAAGATACAATCATAGGAGGGGAAGACGTGCAAAACAGGCATAACTAATTCAAAATTTACAGGCATTTCTGTCCTGCATCCCTACATCAAATCTGCCAAGCAATAATACAAATTTGTGAATCCCAAACACTAAAAAAAAACCTTACAATAATGAAATCAAATAATAAACAAACAAAGGCTAATCACACTGCTACATCAAATTAAAAGTTAGGAAAAGCAGCACCATGTGACAAAAGTCATCCCCAACAAAATCAAATTTGCCATTCATCTTGAAATTCTTCTTCTAATCTTTAGCATTCAGTGCCCAAAATATAGATCAGAGTCGTTCCCTAGTAGCATAACCAATGCAAGTGAACATCATCATAATTCACTAGCAACTAACGAAGAAAATCGAAATAGTTTATGGAAAAACGATATTAATAAGTTGCATCAAATTTTTACGAGGGTTACGCCAACAGTTGAAAAACATCATTGTCGTAGTTCCCGCAACAACTCTCCAAAAAAGTTCATCCATACTCCCAGATATGCTGCAAAAAACCCGTGGTATTGAAAACCAATATACCAATCAATAAAAATCACCAGCAAAATCCATATGTTTTCATCTGCACCAAACATGTGCTTAGATTTGCCTAAAAAAATTTGGTAGCAAAGAAGGCACTAACCTTTCCACTAGGTACAACTGGTGTAAGAGTAGAACTTGGTCCACGACACAACAGATGGAAGGTTTTGAGTCTAGCGCAACACTAAAAATAAAAATTGAATGGAAAAGTAGAACTCCCAATCAAAACAACAAAAAAAGAAAATATAATAAATGCCAACAAATCTTCAAAAACGATACTTGAATAATAAATAATAATAATAAATTGAAAGTAAGCCTGAATCTTTTGATAAGCAAAGACCATTTTCCTCTTAAAAAATCACCTACAAAACTACGTGCATGGATGACTCCGAGAGAACAAATTATCTTCTATTACACAAAAAATATCTTACAAATATAGAACAACTCAAATAAAAATCTTACCAGAAGAGATTGGGTGACTGTACCTCTCATCAACTCACTAAACTTAATTACAAGTAACCAAAGAAAAATAGGGCAGGGGAAACCAAAAAAGGGACAAGTAAACAAATAGATCTGACCAGCTCAACAGCAGGTACTGCAATCCTTTAAAATGTAGACATCTAACAGAGACAAAAGTTACTAACAGCATTGAAAGAGACAGAAAATATATCAATTGACTAAACAATTGAGATGAAAACATCTGAAAAAAGATGTTTCAATCCAGGTAAAACTGATCTCAAATTCCCAAGCATTCCGCCCTCCCTCCCTACATTGAATCAATCATCAATCAAATTAATAAACAGAAAGCTTACTAACCCAAAAACCAATTAAACTCTTTATACCTGAACCTGAATATAGAACACATGGTCAAAGCCTAAAATATCCAGGACAAAACCCTATATATACTACAAACCCTAAATCCAAGAGAACAAATAGCTTATTACCGACTTGAATGCATCGTCAAGTGGAATTTTTACCGTAATAATTCACAAACTGCAATTTAGGGCTTAGGAAAAATTTGGATAATAATTGTCAGAGAAAAGTGACCAGAATCCAACAAAACACCTCACCAAAGGCACTGTATTAGAGCGAGTAATCTTCCATGAAAAATCCAAAAACCATATTTCAAGAAGAAAATCTCGAATTCCTGCATCATCCTACCAAAAAATCCAATAACCTAAATCGAAATTTAGAAGCCAATCTAAAGCACAACTCGAAGATTTCAAAGAATTTCACGGCGGTCCCGAAGTTTTTTCCTAACACGTTCGGCAAAGAGAGTAGGAAGGCCATCAACAAATTTGGCTTTCCAATGGGAACTGTTAGCATCAGGCCGTTGGAGGACCTTGATGAGGAAGACGTCCTTATACAATTTGAAATGGGTAAGAGAAGGACATCGAAGATTCTGGAGGAGTTCGCGACCACAGTCCTGGGTACTAGTACTGGTTCCTATAAAATGAAGGATGATAGTCTGGATGAGTGTATAAACAGCATCTTCACGTTGAACTGGTTGATGAGTCGTGGGATCGACATCAATCTTAATGGAAGTGAGGATTTCCTGTTGTTGGACGGGGGAGAGGACATTATCCCACCATCCTTTAAGTTGTCCGATAAAGCCATTGATAATAAATTTAACAACAGCATGATCAGTATTGCCATATTGGCAACATACGGTTGCATACATTAATACCTGATGTAATTTTTTAAGAATACCATATTCTGCTTCACCATCGATATTCCATTCGTAAATAGTTTTACCATGATAAGATCCCTGGTCATTGAGGTAAGTTTCCTCGTACAACAAGTCAGGTGGTGTTGGTCGGGCGTAATAATTCCGACTAGGTGGTAATATCGCTGGTCTAGAGGAGCTGTAAGAGTATAGCTTATTAACTGATGAGGGTTCCTGGAAATTCATTTGGATTTCATGAATTTGTTCCGGTAAAAGGGTATCATCCAAAGGAGGTTCAGACCTCAGCATATGAATGGATCCGTTAGAAACAACAGAAGGGTCAGGAGGCAAATGTTTTCATTCTCTGTAAAAGAGTGTCCATAAATTCTATATTAGAAGCTTTTAACTTGAAGTTAGTGACTTCGATTGGCGGTTTAATCGATACTGGATGGATCTCATAGTTATGTTGGCGACACACTAAGCCTAAGTCGGATAACTTAACAGATTCGGTTTTGGTAAATCTGCTGGATTGGGCATCAATATAACCTGTTGCCACTAAGGGTTGTCTGGTGGTTTCGCCATTTGGAGCTAACTCCAGGGCTTGAGGTGGTGGATGGATGGCAATGATTGCCAATCCTTCCGTAGTAGTCCAGGTTTTGTGCTGATCTTCTAAAACATTTAATTGAGAATTAAATGTAAGATTATACCAATCTACAAAAGGTATTATGGTCTGGTTTAACTCAAGATGTTGGTCCAAAACTCATATGACAGTAACAAATTCCTAAAAACAATTTCACAAAGCCCATTACGCTTTCTCCCACTTTTCGAACGTACACCTGATTTGCCTTTTTGAAACATGTTCACAAGTATCCGATGTCCTTCACATTATTCACAATCTCAATACAGTACTTACATCTGTTTCCAACACATTCATATCTGTACATATATGCATTCAGTACAAAGGGAAAACAACAAGCAACCAACAACTATTTACTCAACGAATGAGGCAACTCGGCCTTCCAGAACCATAACCATCATAACCCATAATATACATAGATACATTGAGACAATAATGATAAATAAGTTTTACTCTATTTGCGTTAAGCATGGTAAGCCAAGGATACACATTTCCATAATGAAATGCCAGGCCAAAGATATACCTCAAGCCATTTTAGTCTTACTTCATTTCATGACAATTCATTTCAAGTTAATTTATTCCATCTCAATTCATGAGCCAATTCATTACATTTTAGACACCCAACTAAGGCTACAACTCAGTGGTTCTCAATCAACACAATTACTATACAAACACTTCAATATGCCATTTTATGAAAATTTCATCCGCGGGAATCGACACACACATATATATATATATATATATATATATATAGGCGCGGTTTTAGGACTTTCACCCTGGATACTCCGGCCAACTTAATTTCAATGGAGTCCATTCCCTATCACCTCCTAAACATGGAGTACATCCCCTTTTTCCTCCCAAACATCATACATATACAATGTATTTAAAATATGGTCATATTCAATGACAACCAACAAGAGATTAGTTTTAATTCACCTAATTCTCATGCAATTTCTACAGCAGTCATAGCTATCCTCCACCGATAGCCCAAAACAGATATTTCTAAACAGATATACAATCTCCAAAATAGATAAACTATCCATATTTTCATAGGTGAGAGATGACAAATATCCAACTTCACCATTTACTTTCATATCTATCCATTTCTACATCTAATACGAAAGGAAAACAAAAATCTAATTCTCGTACGACTTTTAGTCCAATAACAATAATAATTTGTAAAAGTTTCAAAATCCGACCTTAAGCTCATTATCAATTTACGAAGGGTGATGATTTTATTTTCTTTCAAAAAGACTACTTTTCTTTATTTTACAATCCACACGACTTCAATCATTTTCTAAAAATTCATTCTCATCATTTTACAAAATCAAAACTGAAACCTAATCCATCCTCTTTATTTTAAAAAACCATTTCCATTGGTATCAAAACCATAACTCAACTCAACTTTACATGATTAGTCTAAAACAATACCAACACCGTGGTTACTTCTCTTTTTATTTTCCTTTGATATAAACACGATTGTACAACCCATATTAGCCAAATATAAAGGTTATTCAACTTCCTTCCTTTTTAAATCCATTAAATCAATAATATTAAATTAGGGCTTTCCTCCCTCTGTTCACAAACATATTAAATCATTTCCCTAATTAACCCAAACAACAAACAACTCAACAATTCCAATCACAAATATCAAACCTTAGATCCCATTTCATGGCTTTAGAGAAAATCCATAATGAATATGGTTTCTATGCAATAAGATCTACCACACATCTATCTATAGACGAGGTATTAGAAAGGAGCAAAGAAATCCCTGCTTCTTGAAGCATAGAGATAACGACCCAAAATTTATCGGCGATGAAACAACGAACTATTTGGACCAAAAGGAAGCCCTTGACGAGATCTACAATCTTTCTCAAAGGACCACAGTGAAAAGATCACTCTAGGCGAGTAGATCTAGAGGTCTAGGTGCAAAAAGTCAAGTTTTAGAGAGAGAAGAGAGAAATCACGGTTTGAGAGGAAAAAAGGAGGAAAAAGTAATGAGAGGAAAGTGGCTTGAGTCTATTTATAGTAGTAGAAAATTGCCCTAAAATCAAATAAAAGGACAAGTCAAAAACCCCCAAAAAGTAGGGCCCAAACCAACCCAAAAACCTAAAAATTACACGCAGGTGTCAACCTTTAGGCAGAGGTGCCGACCCTTCAGACAGAAAAGCAAAGAGTACAACAGGCAAGGTGTTGACCCTTCCCAGACTGGTGTCGACACCAAATTTCAGCAAGCAATTCCAGGACAAGGGTCGACCCTTCCCAAACTAGTGTCGACCCTTTCCAGACTAGTGTCGACCTTTGAGGCCAACAACAAAAGGCAGGTGTTAACACCATCAAGACCGGTGTCGACTCCAGAACTAGAATTCTAAGTTCCCAAACAACTTTTCAATGTAAACAAGCGTGAATGAACAACCCCAACAAGTTTAGATCGATTTTCACTCTTCCATAACCAAGATACAACAACATCAAAGATTCTCAAAATAAAATAAAGGATTCAAATACACTTCTCAAAAGTTTTAAAAGATACAAGTGCTAAAAAAAAAATTTAGTCGAGGTATGTTATCTATTGGCAGCCAAAAAAAATTAGTCACTAAATATGTCATAATAGGCGACTAAAAAACATATTAGTCGACATTAGCCTAGTTTTTAGGCTACTAAAGTTTGTTTTAGTCATGATATAGTAATTTTTGCCGACTAAAAATATTTAGTCACCAAATAATAGCCATAAATTTACTGTTACTCTTTGGCTGGCAAAATATTAGTTGCCAAATTACTACTTTTGGCGACTAAAAAAATATTTAGCCGCCATTAGTTAAGGTTTGGCTTTAAATAATTTAGTCAATATAAATTAACATTTTCTGACAAAAAATCAATTTAGTCGCCAAATGGCGCCACTAGAAAAATGATGCTACCCTTTAATTTGCGACCACTTGATTATCAGTTGCAAATACCCAATTTATTCGTTATTTTGTTTTATTTATTTTCCCCTTTTCCTTATATTTGCCCTAGCCCTTCACAAACACTTATGGTTGTCTCTCTCGCATGCGTTCTCACTCTGTCTCTCTCTCTTAGTCTCACACTGGTATGAATCTCTCAATCTCATTCTCTTTTTCCTTGAAGGTATGCTCTCTCTCTCTCTCTCTCTCTCTTAAGTTTCTTTCTCTGTTTCTTCTTGTTTTCAGGTTTCAATCTACACTTAGGGTTTCGATCGAGTTCAAGGTACTCTCTCTCAGAAGTTCTTCTCTCTATTTATATCTTCTTCCATTTATTCTTATTTTGTGATTTGAATTTGTTCCTAGGGTTTCGATCGACGGATGTGTGATAACCCTGTCTTGTGTTAAGTTAATTAATCATGAGTATGTTGTGAATATGTGATTAATTTGAATTTGGGTGTTAATTGTATGATTATATGTGATTTTGGCCTTATATCAGTTCACCGTAGGAAGATTTGTTCAACTTATTGTTGTAAACTGAAAATTGAAGGCCTTATCGGCCACAGAAACCGAAATTGACTATGCCATTGTGATTAGTGTAATTTTTAGAGCCTATGGTGAAATTCAATTGAAAATTGATTCGGAACGAATTAATTAGTTTAAATTGAATTAATTAAGCACCATTGATTAGTTCTAATTAAGTGTGATTAGGGAAAGCCTATATAAATGAGCTAAGTGTTACGCCAACAGTTGAAAAAATCATTGTCGTAGTTCCCGCAACTCTCCAAGAAAGCTCATCCACACAGGCAGATATGTTGCAAAACCCCCGTGCTATTGAAAACCAATATACCAGCTCAATAAAAATTACCAGCAAAACCCATATGTTTTCATCTGCAACAAACATGTGCTTAGATTTGCCTTGAAAAAAATTGGTGGCAAACAAGGCACTAACCTTTCCACCAAGTACAACTGGTGTAAGAGTAGCTTGGTCCAGGACACAACAGATGGAAGGTTTTAAGTCTGGCGCAACACTAAAAATAAAAACTGAAAAGAAAAGTAGAAATCCCAATAAAAACACTCAAAAAAAAAATATTTAAAAATAAATGCCACCAAATCTTCAAAAACAATACTTGAATAATAAATAATAATAATAATAAATTGGAAGTAAGCCTGAATCTGAATCTTTTGATGAGCAAAGCGTTTTCCTCTTAAAAAATCACCTACAAGACTACCTGCATGGACGACTTCGAGAGAACAAATTATCTACTATTACATAAAAAAATACCTTACAAATATAGAACAACTCTCTTTTTTAGCACGCATATTCATAATACTGAATATTAATGCAGAAAAAAACTTACAACAGTCCTGTAGCCATGCAACTCTACAACCTTTCAACGTTTCACCATCCATGTTTTGTGTAGCAACATTCTATATGTACTGCAGACACAAATTGCTAACAAAAATCCCGAAGAGATTTGGTGACTGTACCTCTCGTCCACTCACTAAAATTAATTAAAAGTAACCAAAAAAGGACAAACAAACAAATAGATCTGACCAGTTCAACAGCAGGTACCGCAATCTTTCAAAATGTAGAACTCTAAAGATACCAACAGTATTGAAAAGAGACAGAAAATATATCAATGACTCAACAATTAAGATGCAAACATGTGAAAAAAATATGTTTCAAACCAGGCATAACTGATCTCAAATTCCTAAGCATTCCGCCCTCCGTCCCCATATTGAATCAATCATCAATCAAATTAATAAACGAAAAACTTACTAGCCCACACAACCAATTACACTCTTTATACCTGAACCTGAATATATAAAGAACACATGATCAAAGCCTAAAAAATCCAGGACAAAACCCAATATATACTATAAACCCTAAATCAAATAGAACAGATAGCTTATTACCGACTTCAATGCATCATCCCGTGGAATTTTTACCGTAAAACTTCTTGTACAAAAAATTCATAAACTGCAATTTAGGGTTTAGGGAAAAATTGGATAATAATTGTCAGGGACAAGAGTTACCAGAATCCAACAAAACACCTCACCGAAGGCACATATATTAGAGCGAGTAATCTTCTATGAAAAATCCAAAAACCATATTTCAAAAAGAAAATCTCGAATTCCTGCATCATCCAACCAAAAAATCCAATATCCTAAATCGAAATTTAGAAGCCAATCTAAAGCACAACTCGAAGATTTCAAAGAAATTCACGGGAAAAGTAACCCACACCAACTTGAATTCATATTCCAAATTATGAATCTCTGATGATCCTTCAAAATCAGCTTGAAGTTGTGTAGGATCAGCTTGAAATTGTATCTACACAACACGAAATCGCCATATCGCAAACATAAGCAGATCAACTAATAAAAGAATCAGAGCGCAAACAAAATCCCTAGATATGCTGCAAGAAAGAAAAGGACCGAAAGCAATATCTTTGATGATCGTTCAAACCAAAAAATCCAATATCCTAAATCGAAATTTAGAAACCAATCTAAAGCACAACTCGAAGATTTCAAAGAATTTCACAGGAAAAGTAACCCAAACAAACTTGAATTCATATTCCAAATTATGATATCTTTGATGATCCTCTAAATCAGCCTGAAATTGTATCTACACAATGATTCGCAATCCATGACTTGAATGGGATATAATTGGGCATACCTTCAGCAAATTGCTAACAAAATTGCATACGAGTGTGGATGGCAGTACATCTCACCTGCCTAATAAAACTCAGAGAACACAGAAGGGGAAGTAGGGGGGTAGGGGGTGGGGGGTGAAAACACCACCAAAAAACCCAAAAACAAATATCAACAACAAAAGTGAATTAGCATACACGGCTACCAGTTTATCAGCAGGTCCGGCTAGAACTTCTATGTCCAACTAATAGGAAAGCAAAATGTGAACAAAATGAAAAATAAAAAAGATACGAGCATGATTGCAAAAGAGGACAAAGGAGAGTGTTAATTTTGAGATACAAACATAGGAGGGGAAGACGAGCAAACCAGGCATGACTAATTCAAAATTTACAGGCATTTTTGTCCTCCATCCCTACATCAAATCTGCCAAGCAATAATACAAATTTGTGAATCCCAAACACTAAAAAAAAACCTTACAATAATGAAATCAAATAATAAACAAACAAAGGCTAATCACACTGCTACATCAAATTAAAAGTTAGGAAAAGCAGCACCATGTGACAAAAGTCATCCCCAACAAAATCAAATTTGCCATTCATCTTGAAATTCTTCTTCTAATCTTTAGCATTCAGTGCCCAAAATATAGATCAGAGTCGTTCCACAATTGCATAACCAATGCAAGTGAACATCATCATCATAATTCACTAGCAACTAATGAAATGGCTTCGTTTGGCATATGATTTTTTTTCACTATTTTAGCGCGCCCCCCCCCCCCCCCCCAAAAAAAAAAAAAGAGGTAAAAAAAACAAAAAAAAAAAAAAAATTTGCGCCCCCCCCCCCCCTCCAAAAAAAAAAAACAAAGAGGCTAAAAAACCAATAAAACAAAATATCACATCCAAAGCATATAATCATATTATTGTAAGGTTTCACCCCCCACCCCCCTAGGTACTACTGGTGTAAGAGCAGAACTTAGTGCAGGACACAACAGATGGAAGGAATTGAGTCTGGTGCAACACTGAAAATAAAAATTGAAAGGAAAAGTAGAACTTCCAAATCAAAACACCAAAAATTCTATTTTTTTTTAAATAAATGCCAACAACTCTTCAAAAAAGATACTTGAATAATAAATAATAAATTGGAAGTAAGCCTCAATCTTTTGATAAGCAAAGGGCGTTTTCCTCTTTAAGAATCACTTACAAAACTACCTGCATGGACAATTCGGAGAGAACAAATTACCTACTATTACACAAAATATCTTAAAAATATAGAACAACTCTTTTTAAAGCAATACTGAATATTAATCCAAAAGGAAACTTACAAGAGTCCCATAGCCATGCAACTCTACAACCATTAATGTTTCACCATCCATGTTGTGTAGCAACATTCTATGCACCTCAGACAAATTGCTAACAAAATACCAGAAGAGATTGGGTGACTGTACCTCTCATCCACTCACTAAAATTAATTACAAGTAATTAAAAGAACATGGGGCAGGGGAAACCCAAAAAAGGACAAATAAACAAATAGATCTGACCAGTTCAACAGCAGGTACTGCAATCCTTTAAAATGTAGACATCTAACAGTAAGATAAAAGTTACTAACAGCATTGAAAAGAGACTGGAAATATATCAATGACTCAACAATTGAGATGCAAACATGTGAAAAAAGATGTTTCAAACCAGGCATAACTGATCTCAAATTCCCAAGCATTCCATCCTCCATCCCTCTATTGAATCAATCATCAATCAAACTAATAAACAGAAAACTTACTAACTCGCAACCAATTACCGTCTTTATACCTGAACCTAATAAACGGAAAACATACTAACCCACAACCAATTACACTCTTTATACCTGAACCTTAATATAGAAAGAACAAATGGTCAAAGCCTAAAAATCCAGGACAAAACCCAATATATGCCATAGACCCAGCTTATTACCAACTTGAATACAACATCCCATGGAATTTTTACGTAAAGCTTCTTATAAGAATAATTCACAAACTGCAATTTAGGGTTTAGGAAAATTTTGGATAATAAGGGACAAGAGTGACCAGAATCCAACAGAACAAATTAGAGCGAGTAATCTTCCATGAAATATCCAAAAGCCACATTTCAAAAAGAAAATCTCGAACTCCTGCAACATCCAACCAAAAAATCCAATATCCTAAATTGAAATTTACAAACCAATACAGCACAACTAGAAAATTTTCAAAGAATTTCACGGGAAAAGTAACCCATACCAACTCGAATTCATATTCCAAATTAGGATATCTTTGATGATCCTTCAAAATCAGCCAGAAATTGTATCTACACAATGATTCGCCATCCATGATCAGAATGGGATATAATTATGCATACCTTTGGCAAGTTGCTTAGAAAATTTTGTGCAAGTGTGGATGGGAGTACATCTATCTGCCTAATAAAACCAAGAGAAGAGAGAAGGAAGTAGGGGGTAAGGGGTCCCCAAAAATTAAAAAAAAAACAATGTAGTGAATTAGCATATACGGCTACCAGTGTATCAATAGGTACAGCTGCATGTTCTATGTTCTTCAAAGACAAACACCTAGTAGTAAAAAAAAAAATGTGAACAACATGAAAAATAAAAAAGTTATGAGCAGGGTTGCAAAAGAGGAGGAAGTGTTAATTTTGAGGTGCAAACATAGGAGGAGAAGACGCAAACCAGGCATAACTAATTCAAAATTTACAGCATTTCTGTACTTCAATCTGCCAAGCAATAATACAAATTTGTGAATCCCAAACACTTAAAAAACCTTAAAATCAAATAATAAACAAACAAGGCTAATCATAAGCGTACATCAAATTAAAAGTTACGACAAGCAGCACCAGCACCGTGTGACGTAAGTCATCCCAAACGAAATCACATTTGCCATTCATCTTGATATTCTTCTTCTAATCCTTAGCATTCAGTGCCCAAAATATAGATCAGAGTCGTTCCCTAGTTGCATAACCAGTGCAAGTGAACAACATCATAATTCACTAGCAACTAGTGAATAAAATCGAAATAGTTTATGAAAAAACAATATTAATAAGTCACATCAAATTTTTATGAGTGTTACGCCAACAGTTGAAAAAATCATTGTCGTAGTTCCCGCAACTCTCCAAGAAAGCTCATCCACACAGGCAGATATGTTGCAAAACCCCCGTGCTATTGAAAACCAATATACCAGCTCAATAAAAATTACCAGCAAAACCCATATGTTTTCATCTGCAACAAACATGTGCTTAGATTTGCCTTAAAAAAAATTGCTGGCAAACAAGGCACTAACCTTTCCACCAAGTACAACTGGTGTAAGAGTAGCTTGGTCCAGGACACAACAGATGGAAGGTTTTAAGTCTGGCGCAACACTAAAAATAAAAACTGAAAAGAAAAGTAGAAATCCCAATAAAAACACTCAAAAAAAAAATATTTAAAAATAAATGCCACCAAATCTTCAAAAACAATACTTGAATAATAAATAATAATAATAATAAATTGGAAGTAAGCCTGAATCTGAATCTTTTGATGAGCAAAGCGTTTTCCTCTTAAAAAATCACCTACAAGACTACCTGCATGGACGACTTCGAGAGAACAAATTATCTACTATTACATAAAAAAATACCTTACAAATATAGAACAACTCTCTTTTTTAGCACGCATATTCATAATACTGAATATTAATGCAGAAAAAAACTTACAACAGTCCTGTAGCCATGCAACTCTACAACCTTTCAACGTTTCACCATCCATGTTTTGTGTAGCAACATTCTATATGTACTGCAGACACAAATTGCTAACAAAAATCCAGAAGAGATTTGGTGACTGTACCTCTCGTCCACTCACTAAAATTAATTAAAAGTAACCAAAAAAGGACAAACAAACAAATAGATCTGACCAGTTCAACAGCAGGTACCGCAATCTTTCAAAATGTAGAACTCTAAAGATACCAACAGTATTGAAAAGAGACAGAAAATATATCAATGACTCAACAATTAAGATGCAAACATGTGAAAAAAATATGTTTCAAACCAGGCATAACTGATCTCAAATTCCTAAGCATTCCGCCCTCCGTCCCCATATTGAATCAATCATCAATCAAATTAATAAACGAAAAACTTACTAGCCCACACAACCAATTACACTCTTTATACCTGAACCTGAATATATAAAGAACACATGATCAAAGCCTAAAAAATCCAGGACAAAACCCAATATATACTATAAACCCTAAATCAAATAGAACAGATAGCTTATTACCGACTTCAATGCATCATCCCGTGGAATTTTTACCGTAAAACTTCTTGTACAAAAAATTCATAAACTGCAATTTAGGGTTTAGGGAAAAATTGGATAATAATTGTCAGGGACAAGAGTTACCAGAATCCAACAAAACACCTCACCGAAGGCACATATATTAGAGCGAGTAATCTTCTATGAAAAATCCAAAAACCATATTTCAAAAAGAAAATCTCGAATTCCTGCATCATCCAACCAAAAAATCCAATATCCTAAATCGAAATTTAGAAGCCAATCTAAAGCACAACTCGAAGATTTCAAAGAAATTCACGGGAAAAGTAACCCACACCAACTTGAATTCATATTCCAAATTATGAATCTCTGATGATCCTTCAAAATCAGCTTGAAGTTGTGTAGGATCAGCTTGAAATTGTATCTACACAACACGAAATCGCCATATCGCAAACATAAGCAGATCAACTAATAAAAGAATCAGAGCGCAAACAAAATCCCTAGATATGCTGCAAGAAAGAAAAGGACCGAAAGCAATGTCTTTGATGATCGTTCAAATCAAAACCTGAAACTGTATCTACGCAATACGAAAACACAAAACCAGAAACGAATCAGAGCGCAAACTGAATTTCCAAAAGCCGAAGACATAGACCCCTAGAAAAACTTACCACAACTCCCAGATGCCTGAAACTAGGCATGATCGGAAGGTACCCGATGTGCGGGCTATTTATAGATGAGGTCGGTGTAAAGGCGCGGCTAGGATTAAGCGGTGATCCGAGATCGAACGGTTGAAACGTGTCCTTATCTTTAAAGGATTTGACCAAGCAAAGGAAAACGAAAAGGACAGGGAAAATTGGTTACGTGTTTATTGTGGCGCTGGACCCGATCATAAAGCTGTCCACGCGTGGTTTTTTTATTTTTTTATAAATAAATAAATATAAATCGACGGCTGATGTCACGCCAGCTGGCTCGTGGTCGGTTGTTGATAGTATTTGTGTTTTCGTTCTGAGCCACAGGTATTGTTGGTAAAGTCATACCTGGGGGCGCCCCTGGTCAATAATGGAGGTCTGTGGGCTGCAATTGGGTGGCCCAATGAATTGGAAATGATTGCCAAAAAAAAACACCAATGTGGACCCAATGAACTACAATGGGCTGGCTTATCTCGTGAATCGAAAATAAGAGGTTGTTTAAAATGATTTAAATAAATATATTTTTTAATTTTTTATGAAATATGAATTAAATTTTGGTTAAATTTAAAGTGATATATTAAAATAATAATGTGATGTAAATAAAATAATAAAACTTAAATAGAATAGTGATTTATTAATTTTTTGACTTTATCAAAACTTGTCAAATCAGTTCAAACCTTCCTCACATTTCTATGGTGAGCCGATAGATAATACAAATGTGGTGCAAGTGATGCCTATGGCCTATGGCCTATGGGTCTCGTATTTGGAATTGGTTTTCGGTGTTTTAAAAAAATATACTTTTTATCTTTTTATGAAAAAATGTGCAGAAAAGTAGAGAGGTGATGTGATGAAAAAAAATAAAAAAATAAAAAGATGAATTATAATAGTGTACCTCAAACCAACCCTGATCACTGAGCGTTATTAATGCAGAAAGAAAAAAACAAAAAGGTGGCTAGTTTTATTGATATCAATAATTTTTTAAATAAATGTTTGAAAATTTATAGGACCTTTAAAAAATTATATATAACTTACATGTATTCAAATTTATACAGTTCAATCTTATGTGAAAGAATTAAATACTTATAAGTCATGTGCATTTTTTTAATGTAGTGATAAGTTTTAAAAGCGAATTACATTACAGTGGTTTTTGTTTTGAGGGATTGAGTCATGAGATTGGACTAATAATTTATCCAGACTAATAGTTCATTATTTGGTTCAAAAATTTTAGGCAGTTTGCTTTTGTGTTAACATGTAATACCGTTGTAAAGTTTACTCTATGAAATGAAATGTTGGTTTCTTTTATATCAATGCATGTCAAAAGAGATGGGTTTCATGTATTATTTTGAGGGCGTTAACAACTTGGTATCAGAGCGTACCGAGTTCGAAACTTTGGGTACGTGGGAAGTGATTAGTATCACAATGGGTTTTTCTCGCTTGATTAGAGACTTAGATGTATGTTATGTGTTTAATTTATAAACATGCTTATGTGACTATGTGGTATGGATGTAGTTTCTAGATGTTGATTGGATCCTTGGGTTTCTGGAAGTCTTGTTGGAAAAAGCACTTGATCAATGATGTTTTTCTAACCGGAACTCTAGTAACGCCTCGGACATTCATTATCCGGAAATGAAATTCGTAAGTGCTTATGTGTTTAGTGTCTCATGTGGAGTGAATTACAGTTGTCCATGTATTAGGACGGCGAGTGTTATAGCTTCAGCACATTTGTGAAGTGCTAATAGTCTGGTTACCTTTATTAGGATGTCAGACGAGGGGCGTG